CAGGTCCTTTTCAGTGGCGTCTCCTACCTGGTGGAATGAGCTCCCGGAGGAGATCAGGGCCCCGCGGGACCTTTTGCAGTTCCGCTGGGCCTGTAAGACGGAGCTCTTCCGCCAGGCTTTCGAGTAGGAGCCACCACTGCCACCACCACCACCGCTCCACTATAGAGTGATACCGCCGGAGGGCCGAGTAACATCCATCTATGGCCCTGGTCCTCCTCTTCTGGTCTGCAAGACTTTGGGATCTTTCTATTCTTGCATCCTGATTGAACTGAATTTTAACTGTTCTACCTATTTTATATTGTATGCACTTTGTGCCTTGTGTAAGCCACCCTGAGCCCGCTCATGGGGAGGGCGGGGTATAAATATAATGAAATAAATAAATAAATCTTTCTTTGTAGAGCAGAGCATCTGGCCCCAGGAAGTCTGCCAAGTCTTATGCATCTTATCAGGAAACTCCCCATTTTTAGGCTGAAGCAAATAAGTCAGGAATGATGCCAAAATAAGGCCCCTCTGTTCATTGATGTTCTCCATTGTTCCGGGACCAGATAAGCAGACACAATTACTGACACTTATTTTTGAAACCCATACATTTATCAAATCAGCTAGGAAATCTCTTGCTGAGACCTTCCTTGCTTCAATTGTAAACTCACCTGATGGCCTTAGACGAACCACGGTCACTCTGTCGCGGACATGTGATATTAAGGATTGTGAGGATTACTGAGATAATATTTGTACCGTGCATTGAATGCATTAAGGTGCTGTATACACACACTGTTCCATTTGCAGAGGTGCTTTCTTGTAGCAGCAAAAACCTTCCCCTGCAGGCTCTTGAAGGTCACCATATGTCAGAGTGTGCATATATCCAAGGTCACAGATCCAGAGGAGTTAGCCCTGTTAGTCTGTTGCTGCAAAATAGTAAAAAAGTCCAGTAGCACCTTTAATTTAAGACTAACAATCTATATTATAGCATAAGCTTTCGAGAAACACAGCTCTCTTTGTCAGATGCAGGGCATTCTACCTTGTTCCTGACTTTTGCTACTGCTTTGCATTTACACTGCACTTTCTGCATCCCCTCCCCCTCCCCTCACCACCTATGTAGCTCTGGCCAGTTTCTTCATACCCTCCATGCGTCGGACGAAGAGAGCTGTGTTTCTTGGACATTTATGCTACGATCAAGTTTGTTAGTAATAAAGGTGCTACTGGGCTTTTTACATACATTCAAGGAGAGTTCAGACAACGGAATGGTTTAAAAACTTGCAATCTTTCGACAAGTGTGGCATTAAGCCTCCCACTTCTTCATCAGAGCCAACCCACACAAGATGGGAAGGTGCCAGCTGGATCTTAGGAAAAACTTTTTTACAGTGAGAGTTGTGCCACAGTGGACTCAGCTGTCTAGGGAGGCGGTGAGCTCCCCCTCACTGGCAGTCTTCAGGCAGTGGCTGGACAAACACTGGCCAGGGATGCTCTGTGCTGATCCTGCATTGGGGGGGGGGGGTTGGACTAGACGGCCTGTCTGGCCCCTCCCAACTCTGTGATTCTGTGATTCAGGAAAGCCATTTAAATGCCGCCTGTGTGTTTTCTCTTCTGTTTCAAGGAACCATGGCCAAGAGAGTGGCTGTCGTCGGGGCCGGCGTGAGTGGGCTGGCCTGTACCAAATGCTGCCTGGATGAGGGTCTGGAGCCCACCTGCTTTGAGAGGACCGGTGACATCGGGGGAGTGTGGCGATTCACGGTGAGTTGGAGGGCAGGCACTCCCTGCACTGTCTCTGGGCCCGCCTACCCCTGACAGTGTGATCTCGGGGAGGGTGAATGAGGCTACAGGTGGGGGGGGGTGACCATGAGCGCCTGGAAGTACCATCCTGCTTGCCCTAGAGACAGTGTGAAAATTCACATTCAGAAGTAAGTCAAGTTGAAATTCCGCATTTGGGCATTCGAACGGCAACATCTGAAATGCTGGCTGGGTGGGGTTTTTTTACATGCTTGTGATTATTCTGCCACTTCTACTCCAGAGCAAATGCGTTGAGACCAACTTGAATAGAACATACGCAAACAGCAACTAGTGAATAGAGGGTGTAAGTATTGTACAGCTTCCCCCTCCAGTTTGGTGTAGTGGTGAAGTGTGTGGACTCTAATCTGGGAAAACCGGGTTTGATTCCCCACTCCTCCACTTGCACCTGGCTGGGTGACCTTGGGTCAGTCACAAGCTCTGGCACAGCTGTTCTTGAAAAAGAGCTGTTTCT